GTGTCAGACACCCGGCAGGTCACGGTTTTGTGTGTAGCACCGGCTGGTTTGTGTGTGTGTCAGACACCCGGCTGGTCACGGTGACGGGCTTGTGTGTGTCAGACACCCGGCTGGTCACGGTGATGGGTTTGTGGGTGTGTCAGACACCCGGCTGGTCACGGTGAGGGTTTGTGTGTGTCAGACACCCGGCTGGTCACGGTGATGGGTTTGTGTGTGTGTCAGACACCCGGCTGGTCACGGTGATGGGTGTGTGTGTGTGTGTCAGACACCCGGCTGGTCACGGTGACGGGTGTGTGTGTGTGTCAGACACCCGGCTGGTCACGGTGATGGGTTTGTGTGTGTGTCAGACACCCGGCTGGTCACGGTGATGGGTGTGTGTGTGTGTCAGACACCCGGCTGGTCACGGTGATGGGTGTGTGTGTGTGTCAGACACCCGGCTGGTCACAGTGATGGGTTTGTGTGTGTGACAGACACCCGGCTGGTCACGGTGAGGGTGTCTGTGTGGGTCAGACACTCGGCTGGTCACGGTGAGGGTGTCTGTGTGTGTCAGACACCCGGCTGGTCACGGTGATGGGTTTGTGTGTGTGTCAGACACCCACTGGTCACGGTGATGGGTTTGTGTGTGTGTCAGACACCCGGCTGGTCACGGTGATGGGTTTGTGTGTGTGTCAGACACCCGGCTGGTCACGGTGATGGGTTTGCGTGTGTGACAGACACCCGGCTGGTCACGGTGATGGTTTGTGTGTGTGACAGACACCCGGCTGGTCATGGTGATGGGTTTGTGTGTGGGTGTGTGTGTGTTTGTGTGTGTGTGACAGACACCCGGCTGGTCACGGTGATGGGTTTGTGTGTGTGTGTGTGTCAGACACCCGGCTGGTCACAGTGATGGGTTTGTGTGTGGGTGTGTGTGTGTTTGTGTGTGTGTGTCAGACACCCGGCTGGTGACGGTGATGAGTCTGTGTGTGTGTCCGTCACCCGCTGATCACGGTGATGGGTTTGTGTGTGTGTGTGTGTGTGTGTGTGTCAGACACCCGGCGGATCACGGTGATGGGCTTCCCCAGACCCCAAAAAATCCTTTTTCAAAATACATCAACATGTTGTTTGCCATGTCCCCATCTGGGGCGGTGGGGACAGGGGGTAGTATTAAGGTGATTGTGGCTCATGTTCCCGTCCTTTCCCCCCTCCCCTGACAAGAGGTCAGCGATCAGAACCACAGCCATTGACATGTCAGGTCAGTCTCACTGCGCCACCTCGTGCCTTGATATAGAAACAACACCCCCTGCAACCCTTAACACATAATAATACTTGCATTTGATATCACGTCATCGAGACTGCTCAAAGAGCTTCACGGGACGCACGGTAAAGTGTAGTGACTGGGTATTTGTGGCAGCCAATTTGCACACAGCAGCGGCCCGCAAACAGCCATGAAATCAATGACCAGTGACACTAATTGGAAAGGAGAAGAGGAGTTTCTCTTTCCCGGTGTCCTGGCCAACAATCCCCCCAGATAAAATCGGTCATCCACTGCACGGATGTTTGGGGGACGTCGCTGTAATCAAATTGGTTGCCCCACTTCACCCACAAAATACACAGTCGATACACTTTACAGTAAATGCTGTGAAACACTTTGGGTCATCCTCCTGATGTGAAAGACGCTGTATCAAATGCAAGTATTATTATTAATAATATTATTAAACGGCAAGGATTATTATGTTATTTCAGTTTAAATCACGATGCAGAGGTAGTTTCTTGGTGGTTTTCAGTGGTGAACAGCCAGACCAATAGCACTGCCACGCGACATATAAATGGGTGTTACTATTCTTGATATATTTCAGCTTCCTAAAAGTTTTGCATGAGCAAAAATACTTTATTATTATTAATATTATTAATATTCTCTATCTGTTTTTCCCGGCAGGACTTCGGGCTGGACGTTGCTGCGTTCCAGAATCTGGTGGGAGACTGCCCGCTTCCCTTCCTGTGTCTCGCTGTGGACTGTTGTGATGTGAGTGACATCAGGGCCTCCCACCCCCTGCCCCACACTGAGACCCCCAACTCCGCCCTGCCTCAGCCTGTCCTCAACGGTCCTGTCTCACAGCAATGATAAGTGTGAAGTCCCGGGTTCTCTGACTTGCGAGGCGAGATTAGCGCACTCGCACACTCGTGGAGTCCTGTAGCTCAGTGGTTAGAGCACTCGCTTTGCAAGTGAGAGACCTGAGTTCAATTCCAGGCAGAGGGCGAAACCTTGGGCAAGTTTCCTTACTCCACACAGAGCCTAATAATAATCCCTCCAAAACCAAAAACAATAAAAATTGGTCATTTTCAATCTACGACTGTTTGTGGGACATTGCTGTGCGCAATTGGCTGCCGCGTTCGCCCACAAATATACAATCAATTCACTTTACAGTGTGTTCTGTGAAGCGCTTTGGGACGTCCTCCCAATGTGAAAAGCGCTATATCAAATGCAAGGATTATTAAGCAAGAGAACCCGGGTTCGATTCCTTACTCCTTACGCCACACGCCTGGTTACCAGCACAAAGTGGGAACCCGGGTGTTATGCCATTGGCGGATCGCTCTCTGGGGCTAATAATCCCTCCAAAAAAAAGGGAGTCACTCAATCCACGACTGTTTGTGGGACACTGCTCAAATCCTCACCCTCAAAATATGCCCTCAGTTTACAGTATAAGCGCTTTGAGATGCCTCAACGATGTGATGGGGCGCTATATTAAATGCAAGGATTATTATTGTTGTTCGTTGTGTGGTTTCTCTGCCGTGTCTCCGGGGCAGATGGACTCAACGCGGCGTCCGGCCTTCACGGTGATCACACAGCGGCTGGAGATCATCCTGGACCAACACCGGGAGCCTGGGGAGGGAACGGCAACACCCAAGTGGGATCGAGCGGGCACCGAGAGACTGACAGCAACACACGGTAACCAGAGTCTCAGCACGGGGGGGGGAACCAGGAGGGCAGCACGATCGGAGTGAAGAGCTCCCCCCGCCTCGTGTGGGGGACTCTGAGCTCACAGGCCAGGCTTACTGGGGGGGGAGAGAGAGAGCCCGAGAGAGAGAGCAACGCATTGTCAGAGACGCTGTCCTTCGGGTGAAACGTTAAACCTTACTCCCCGTCTGAGTTCTGTTGCGGCGAACATTAACGATCCCACAGCGCTGTCGGGAAAAGAGAAGCGAGTCTCTCTCTCTCTCCTGGTGTCTGGCCGACAGTCCCCCAGATTACTTACTCGCTCACCTCGTGGCTCTGCGCCACGTTTACCTGCAAATATATTTGACAATAATTGCCTGGAAACGGTATGAGCCGCTTATAGACTCATTAAACCCTTATTTATAAGTATTTTTTGTGGCTGTCAGTAACCCAATAAACCTGAAGCTCAAATCTTTCCTCTCTCTCCCTCATTCTGTCCCTCTCTTCCATTTGCCCTCTCTTTTTCTCTCCTCTCCCCCCCCCTCTTTATCGTTCTCTCTCTCTCTCTCTCCTTCCTCTGCATCTCCCTCTTCTCCCCTCCCCTCCTCCCCTCCCTCCCTCCTCAGGTAAGAGCGATAAAGACACAGCACGTAGCCAGGTCCGAAGGCCGACGTGCAGCCTCCGGGTTCAGTGTGAGACCAGGTTATCCCGCAGCCACTCCGACATGTTCTCCCCCAAACCCCTGGCTGCGGGCAGCGAAGACGACCAGTTCTCCCCCCTCCAGCGAGCCCCGACCAGGATCAACCCCTTCTCGCGCCGGGAGGACCTGAAGGGCGGGAAGATTAAGTTGTACGACTCTCCCAGCAAGTCGGTCATCTCCCTGACCTTTGACTTGCCGGCCCCGGCCTCCTACCAGATGAACCTGCCAGTGACCCCCGAGCCCATGATGGATGTCAGGTGTGAGTTCCCGAGGCCTAACTTCCAGCCGCGGAACTGCCGTTCTCTCCCCTCCAGCCCCGCCCTCTCCCGCCGCAACTTGGTGCACTTTGACTTTTCTGCGCCCCTCCCCTCGAGGTATTGGATGGGGACGGAGGGCGGCTCTGAGCCCCCAGCGGGGGAGGGGCCCGAGCCCACTGCCTGCTCCTCCGGCCCGGTCGAGGCCCCCACCATTGCCATGGACAACCAGCCCTGGCCACTTCTGGTCAACGACAAGACGGCCACCGTCGCCAGGTACGACCAGCCCTGGGAGCCTCTGGTTAACGACAAGATGGCCGCCGTTGCCAGGGACGACGGGCATGTGGTAGTGAGCAAACCACAGCACAGCGAGACTGAGGATGGTGATGATGGCGGTCAGGGGGAGGAGGATGGTTCCCCGGGCACGGAAAACACCGAAAGCTCCCCGCCCGGCATCGAACAGGACGACATGCTGTCGTGCCCTGGTTGCTGCCTGGGAGGATTCACCTTCCCGTCCCTCTGCCTCCGGCCCTCAGCCGGGACCTCGCGCTACCGTAATCTGAACTGCGACTCCGAGCGGCTGAAGGAAAACCCAGCGGCTAAGGCTTCAGCGAGGACAGGGCCCGGCCTGAAAATCACACAGTCGTAGACGCTGCTTCCGCTCACAGCCTCCATTTTACCCGCTCGCTGCTAAAAAAAGAATGTCGCTCAGTGGTTAGAGCACTCGCCTTGCAGCGAGAGACCTGGGTTCGAGCGTGGCCGAAGGCACCGGCGGAGAGCGAGGCCCTTAGACGGGACGTGAAGGAGGCAACAGAGGGGGTGAGGCGGAGGGATTGCGGGATAGAGTTCCAGAATGTGGGGTGGGTGGTGGGGGGGGTGGGGGGGGCAGAGATGCTGAATGCCCGACCGCAGGTGGTGGAGCGGGAAGTGCGGGAGACTTGCAGCAGGCCGGTGGCTACCGAGCGGAGGGAGCGGAGAGGCTGATGTGGGGTTTGGAGGTCACAGGATACACTGTGGAGTGACTGTGTGTTTTGTGGGAGAAACACGGCAGCCAGTTTGGCTCAGCAGTGTGTCCAAAACAGTCGTGGAGTGAGTGACCGATTTAACTGTTTATTTGTTGGCCAGGAAACCAGGAGAGAGAGCGAGAGAGAGAGAGAGAGAGAGAGAGAGCGACAGAGAGAGAAACTCCCTTTTCTGAGACATTCAGGAATTTTTTTTAAAAACTCGCACCGAACTCGCGCTCTCCTGACCTCTCCCCCCACTCCCCCCCCCACCCCCCCAAACACACACACACACACACACCTCGTCCCTCAGTCTGTCGGTCACTATGCCCTAAATACCCAGAGTTAAGCACAGATTAACGTCACACACAACACGAAGGCTTAAAGTTTAACAATAGGCTGAACAGGACAGGTACCCTCGGCCCCCGCCCCATCCTCTCTCTCTCTCTCTCTCTTTCCTCTCCCCACTCCCTCTCTCTTCCCTCTCATTCCCTCTCGTTCTCTCACATTCTCTCTCTTTCTCTCTCTCATGTTCTCTCTCTCTCTCACATATTCTCCTCTCTCTCTCGCTCGCTCTCTCTCACATTCCCTTCTTTCTCCTTTTTCTTTCCCTGCCTCCGCTCGGTGTGCGTGCGTGTGCGTGTGTGTGTGTGTGTGCGCATTTCTCCTGCACTCTTCCTCGCTCTCACCATATTGCAGCAATCCCTTTTCTTCCTCTCGATCTATTTCCTTCTCTCTCTCTCTCTCTCTCTCTCCCTCTCTCACAATACCAAGAGGCCCTGAAATGCCACCTGACCAACAACCGAGCTCTCATCTGTGCCCTGTTCAGATAAAATTGGCCGCTCAATCCATGGCTGTTGGTGGGTCGCTGCTGTGGCTGCAGCGTTTCACCCACAAAATACACAGTCACTACACTTTACAGTGAAGCGCTTTGCGACATCCTAACACCACGGTGTTATATCAAACGCAAAGATTATTATTATTATAACCTCCCGACTGGGAGCGAGAGTGCAAGCAGCTGAGGTCGGGTCAGGGGGCCGGGCTAGGGGGGGGCCGGGTCGTGGGGTGGGGAGGGGGTCTCTGGGTCGGGGGTCCGGCTTGATCAGTCCCTGACCACGCTTTACCTTAAAAACCTCGGAGAAGAATCCGGAGCCGATCTTCTCGCAGTAGAAGTCGTCGATCCTGGCGAGTGTGGAGACGGCGCTGCGCAGGGCACGGTAGGAGGAGGGCCGTGGGCGGCTGCAGCCCCCGACCGGAGCCCAGGGGGGGCCGGTGTCCGGGGTCTGGGGGCAGCCAGACCCCACCTCCCCCGACAGGGCCAGCCTGAGCCCTGCCTCCCTCTCCATCCCCCGCCTCCGTCAGATCAACCGCGGGGGTGTGGCTCACATCGCCCCAAACTCCCCACCACGGGCAAGGTGGGGGGATCGATAACCCAGAGTAATCCTGATCAATAATCCACGGTAGATCCTTATCAATATTCCAGAGTCTTGATCAATAATCAGGAGACCTGATCACTATTCCACCAGCACCTGATCAATAATCCAGCGATCCGATCGATAATCCACAGTAGATCCTTGGTCAATATCCCAGAGCGCGTCAGGGTCAATAATCCTGGTCAATAATCCGGGGTCCAGATCAATAATCCAGAGTAGAACCTAATCAATAACCCCAGCGATCCGATCAATAATCCACAGCCGATTGCTGGAGGCAATACCCAATGAAGGGCGAGTGTGGATCGTCTGCGATCAATGAGCGCCCGATCAACAGCGATTGGGAAAGTGATCGATGATCCGAGTCTCGATACAGGACACAGACCAACACGGACACTCCCGGAGCGAACACCGAGGTCTCTCCATAAATGGGCAATTAATCCACAGCTCTGAGACAGAGAGAGAGAGAGAGAGAGAGAGGAGAGGTTACACTGAGAGAAAAATATCCCAATATTGTGTCCGGCCAACACCTCCCTCCCTCCCTCCCTCCCTCCCTCCCGCCCTCACTCGCTCTCTCCTCCCTCCCTCCCGCCCTCACTCGCTCTCTCCTCCCTCCCTCCCGCCCTCACTCGCTCTCTCCTCCCTCCTCCTCCCTCGCTCCTCCCGCCCTCCCTCGCTCTTCTCCCTCCTCTTCTCCTCCTCCTCCCTCCTCCTCCTTCCTCGCTCTCTCCTCCCTCCTCCCTCCCTCGCTCTCTCCTCCCTCCTCCCTCCCTCGCTCTCTCCTCCCTCCCTCCCTCGCTCCCTCGCTCACTGTAACCCCAGCCCTGCTCCTCACACCGGGAATTACTGTATATACAACACAGCCCCCGACAGACATACCCTCAACACACACACACACACACAGACTCACAGAGACTCACACACACACACACAGACTCACACACACACAGAGACTCACACACACACACAGACTCACACAGAGACTCACACACACACACACACACACAGACTCACACACACACAGAGACTCACACACAGACTCACAGAGACTCACACACACCCACACAGACTCACACAGAGACTCACACACACACACAGACTCACACAGAGACTCACACACACACACACAGACTCACACACACACACACAGACTCACACAGAGACTCACACACACACACACAGACTCACACACACACACAGAGACTCACACACACACACAGACTCACACAGAGACTCACACACACACACACACAGACTCACACACACACACAGACTCACACAGAGACTCACACACACACACACAGACTCACACACACACACAGAGACTCACACACACACACAGACTCACACAGAGACTCCACACACACACACAGACTCACACAGAGACTCACACACACACAGACTCACACAGAGACTCACTCACACACACACACAGACTCACACAGAGACTCACACACACACACAGACTCACACAGAGACTCACACACACACACACAGACTCACACAGAGACTCACACACACACACAGACTCACAGAGACTCACACACACACACACAGACTCACCCCCCCCACCCCTCTCCCCTCTCCCTCTCCCCCTCCCCCTCACTGACCAGCCGGGGGGTGGGGGTGGGGGGTGGGGGGGGTCCGTGTGTCCAGTCTTCCCCTCCAACACATACAGAAATATCTCAGTCTCTCAGCGAAGCCTCGGGGCCCCCCTCACCCCCTCAAATACCCCCTCACCCTCACACCCCCCTCCCCTGTCCCCCCTCACCCCCTCAAATACCCCCTCACACCCCCCTCCCCTCACACCCCCCCTCCCCTCACACCCCTCCCCTCACCCCCTCAATACCCCCTCACACCCCCTCCCCCTCACACCCCCCTCACCCCCCTCCCTCACACCCCCTCCCCCTCACCCCCTCACCCCTCACACCCCCCTCCCCCCTCACACCCCCCTCACCCCCTCCCCCTCACACCCCCCTCCCCCTCACACCCCTCCCCCTCAAAACCCCCCCCCCTCACACCCCCTCCCCCCCACCCCCCCTCACACCCCCCTCACACCCCCTCCCCCTCACACCCCCCTCCCCCTCACACCCCCTCCCCTCACACCCCCTCGCCCTCACACCCCCTCGCCCTCACACCCCCCTCGCCCTCACACCCCTCGCCCTCACACCCCCCTCGCCCTCACACCCCCTCCCCCCAACCCCCCTCCCCCCACACCCCCCTCCCCCCCACACCCCTCCCCCCACCTCCCCTCACACCCCCTCCCCTCACACCCCCTCCTCACACCCCCTCCCCTCACACCCCCCTTCCCCTCACACCCCTCCCCCTCACACCCCCCTCCCCTCACACCCCCTCCCCCCACCTCCCCCTCACACCCCTCCCCCTCACACCCCCTCCCCCTCACACCCCCCTCCCCCTCACACCCCTCCCCCTCACACCCCCTCCCCCCCACCTCCCCTCACACCCCCTCTGCCCTCACACCCCCCTCCCCTCACACCCCCTCCCCCTCCCTCCCCCTCACACCCCCCTCACCCCCCTCACCCTCACACCCCCTCTCCCCTCACACCCCCTCTCCCTCACACCCCCTCACACCCCCTCACACCCCCTCCCCTCACACCCCCTCCCCTCACACCCCCTCACCCTCACACCCCCCACCCTCACACACCCCTCCCCCTCACACCCCCTCCCCCTCACACCCCCTCCCCCTCACCCCTCACTCCCCCTCCCCCTCACACCCCCCCTCCCTCACACCCCCCTCCCCCTCTCCTCCCCCTCCCCCTCACACACTCCCCCTGTCCCCCACCCCTCCCCCTCTCCTCCCCCACTCCCCCTCACACACTCCCCCTGTCCCCTCACTCCCCCGTCCCCCACCCCCCGTCCTGACGGCCAACACCCTCCCGGGAGCGGCCACTGGGGCTGTGTCTGTGTCCAGTGATGAGGAAGAGGAGGAGGAGGAAGATGATGATGCTTTGCCTTATCTGGAGCCACAGAGGGGGGAGTGGAGGGAGAGGGGGAGGGAGAGGGGGAGGAGTGGGAGGGAGAGGGGGGAGAGGAGAGGGAGTGGGAGGGAGAGGGGGGGAGTGGGAGGGAGAGGGGGGAGTGGGGGGGAGAGGGGGGAGAGGGGAGGGAGAGGGGAGGGGGGGAGAGGGGGGAGAGGGGGGGAGGGAGGGAGAGGGGGAGAGGGGAGGGGGGGAGAGGGGGGAGTGGGAGGGAGAGGGGGAGGAGTGGGAGGGAGAGGGGGGGAGGGGAGAGGGAGTGGGAGGGGA